GGTGAATTACTTCAGTGTGGTAGATGTACAGAACGGTGAACTACTTCAGTGTGGTAGATGTACAGAACAGTGAACTACTTCAGTGTGGGAGAGTGAAAGAAGGGTGAATTACTTCAGTGTGGGAGAGAAACAGAAGGGTGAATTACTTCAGTGTGGGAGAGGAACAGAATGGGGAATTACTTCAGTGTGGGAGAGAGACAGAAGGGTGAATTACGTCAGTGAGAGGGGGACAGAAGGGTGAATTACTTCAGTGTGGGAGAGGGACAGAAGGGTGAATTACTTCAGTGTGGGAGAGGGACAGAAGGGTGAATTACTTCAGTGTGAGAGGGACAGACGGGTGAATTACTTTAGTGTGGGAGGGGGACAGAAGGGTGAATTACTTCAGTGTTGGAGAGGGACAGAAGGGTGAATTACCTCAATGTGAGAGGGGGACAGAAGGGTGAATTACTTCAGTGCGAGAGGGGGACAGAAGGGTGAATTACTTCAGTGTGATAGATGTACAGAATGGTGAATTACTTCAGTGTGGGGGAGGGACAGAAGGGTGAATTACTTCAGTGTGGGAGAGGGACAGAAGGGTGAATTACCTCAGTGTGGGAGGGGGACAGAAGAGTGATTTACTTCAGTGTTGGAGAGGGACAGAAGGGTGAATTACTGCAGTGTGGTAGATGTACAGAATGGTGAATTACTTAAGTGTGAGAGGGGGACAGAAGGGTGAATTAGTTCAGTGAGAGGGTGACAGAAGGGTGAATTACTTCAGTGTGGGAGGGGGACAGAAGGGTGAATTACTTCAGTGTGGGAGGGGGACAGAAGGGTGAATTATTGGAGGGGGATGGAAGGAGTGTAGATAACTTAGGAGAGGGGGCATGCCGGTCATTTTGGTTTTGTGGGAAGGAACAGAGTATTGATTAAATCACTTTGAACTACATCAAGTCTTATAAAAAATATTTACCGTTATTGATGATGATTTTGATATTTGGCATCACCCACAGAAGGTGTGTGATGCATTATTTAAGTCAAAGCAAATACGCTGATAAGGCGAGAGATGTGTTTTTTCTAGTTTAACCTGAAATACTTTTTAAGAAAACATTAAAACTTAATCAAGTTTAAATGTTGGGATTGGTTTCGCATTATTTCTGTATGAGGAGGATGGTGTTGTTATTGTAAGATTGTATGTGCCAGGTTGTGGAGGACCTAGTGACCAGGCTGGGGCTGGACTTTGTTGACCGCACCGTCCACACCTACAGTGGAGGTATGAAGCGGAAGCTGTCCATTGCCATAGCACTACTCGGTGAACCTGATGTTGTTTTCCTGGTAAGAGTCAGGACAAGTCTTACAACACTTTCATAAAGAAGTTTGAACAATATAGCAATTCTTCACAAAAGTGTTAAGTAGCTCAAAGTATCAACTGGTAACAAGAAATTAGATGAAGTTCCTGTGAATTTGAATAAAAAAGTAATTTGAAATCTATATACATTAAACCAGATAGGGAGAGAGAAACATTTTTTTTTCAAAGTTGTGTGGTATTCTATCAAACAGGACGAGCCTACCACAGGTATGGATCCTGTAGCCAAGCGACTAGTGTGGAATTGTCTGATGACATGTGTGAAGAATGAGCAGGCCGTCATCCTCACATCACATAGGTAGGAACAAACGTGAAGATTCCAGCAGGGTAGAGTCTGTAACTTCAGAGATAGGAATGAGACACTCTCAAGATAAACAGGGTAGAGTCGACTGTAACTTCAGAGATAGGAATGAGACACTCTCAAGATAAACGGGGTAGAGTCTACAACTTCAGAGATGGGAATGAGACACTCTCAGGACGAACAGGGTAGAGTCTGCAACTTACAAATAGAATTATACAAACCCTGATTGAAAGAAACCATCTTGACTCCAGTAAGTTATGATCTGTAACTTTTAGATATGTATGAAGTTAATTTATGAAATCTTGATTAAGTATTGTGCTGTCAAGTATTAACTTAAGTTTTGTTGTATTGTAGTATGGAGGAGTGTGATGCCCTGTGTACCCGGCTTGCCATCATGGTCAACGGAGAGTTCCGATGTCTGGGTTCTCCGCAGAACCTCAAGAACAAGTAAGTCTGATGTTCAACAAGCACACTGATTACATACAGTAGGTATATAGGTGTTGTGGTAGCTATATAAAGTTCACTGACCTTCAATACACACAGCTGTAAAGTTCATTGACCCACAATACACACAGCTATAAAGTTCACTGACCTACAATACACACAGCTGTAAAGTTCACTGACCCACAATACACACAGCTGTAAAGTTCACTGACCTACAATACACACAGCTGTAAAGTTCACTGACCTACAATACACACAGCTGTAAAGTTCACTGACCCACGATACACACAGCTGTAAAGTTCACTGACCCACGATACACACAGCTGTAAAGTTCATTGACCCACGATACACACAGCTGTAAAGTTCACTGACCCATGATACACACAGCTATAAAGTTCACTGACCCACGATACACATAGTTGTGTAAGTCAACTACTACACACACATTATCCAGAAATCATTGGTTGAATGCTCCCACACGGCGACATAGTAATATTACACAAAACTGTATTGGTAATTTAATAACAAAAGTTGTCTCCCCTATGCCAGTGCTAATATGATCAATATCCAATTAAATGTGCTGTATGCTTTTATCCTGCTTATATGATCAATATCCAATTAAGTGTGCTGTATGCTTTTATCCTTCAGATACGGAGATGGATACACAGTTAAGCTGTTCACTAATGGACTGTCCACTAATAGATTGGCCCTGTCAGCGTTTACTCAATCCTCATTTCCAGGCTCCATCATCAGAGTATGTATCATGGTGTTTTTACTTTTCTTATTGTCTCGGTATCCATTAATGGACATTATATAGATATCTCAGTGTCCATGTATATACACTATACAGATATCTCTGTGTCCATGTATGTACATTATATAGATAACTCAGTGTCCATGTATGTACTATATATAGATATCTGTGTCCATGTATGTACTATATATAGATATCTCAGTGTCCATGTATGTATATTATATAGATATCTCAGTGTCAATGTATGTACACTATACAGATATATCAGTGTCAATGTATGTACATTATATAGATATCTCAGTGTCAATGTATGTACATTACATAGATATTTCAGTGTCCATGTATGTACATTATATAGATATCTCAGTGTCCATGTATGTACATTATACAGATATCTCAGTGTCCATGTATGTACATTACATAGATATTTCAGTGTCCATGTATGTACATTATACAGATATCTCAGTGTCCATGTATGTACATTACATAGATATTTCAGTGTCCATGTATGTACATTATACAGATATCTCAGTGTCCATGTATGTACATTATATAGATATCTCAGTGTCCATGTATGTACATTATATAGATATCTCAGTGTCCATGTATGTACATTATATAGATATCTCAGTGTCCATGTATGTACATTATATAGATATCTCAGTGTCCATGTATGTACATTATATAGATATCTCAGTGTCCATGTATGTACATTACATAGATATCTCAGTGTCCATGTATGTACATTACATAGATATCTCAGTGTCCATGTATGTACATTACATAGATATCTCAGTGTCCATGTATGTACATTACATAGATATCTCAGTGTCCATGTATGTACATTACATAGATATCTCAGTGTCCATGTATGTACATTACATAGATATCTCAGTGTCCATGTATGTACATTACATAGATATCTCAGTGTCCATGTATGTACATTACATAGATATCTCAGTGTCCATGTATGTACATTACATAGATATCTCAGTGTCCATGTATGTACATTACATAGATATCTCAGTGTCCATGTATGTACATTACATAGATATCTCAGTGTCCATGTATGTACATTACATAGATATCTCAGTGTCCATGTATGTACATTACATAGATATCTCAGTGTCCATGTATGTACATTACATAGATATCTCAGTGTCCATGTATGTACATTACATAGATATCTCAGTGTCCATGTATGTACATTACATAGATATCTCAGTGTCCATGTATGTACATTACATAGATATCTCAGTGTCCATGTATGTACATTACATAGATATCTCAGTGTCCATGTATGTACATTACATAGATATCTCAGTGTCCATGTATGTACATTACATAGATATCTCAGTGTCCATGTATGTACATTACATAGATATCTCAGTGTCCATGTATGTACATTACATAGATATCTCAGTGTCCATGTATGTACATTACATAGATATCTCAGTGTCCATGTATGTACATTACATAGATATCTCAGTGTCCATGTATGTACATTACATAGATATCTCAGTGTCCATGTATGTACATTACATAGATATCTCAGTGTCCATGTATGTACATTACATAGATATCTCAGTGTCCATGTATGTACATTACATAGATATCTCAGTGTCCATGTATGTACATTACATAGATCTCTCAGTGTCCATGTATGTACATTACATAGATATCTCAGTGTCCATGTATGTACATTACATAGATATCTCAGTGTCCATGTATGTACATTACATAGATATCTCAGTGTCCATGTATGTACATTACATAGATATCTCAGTGTCCATGTATGTACATTACATAGATATCTCAGTGTCCATGTATGTACATTACATAGATATCTCAGTGTCCATGTATGTACATTACATAGATATCTCAGTGTCCATGTATGTACATTACATAGATATCTCAGTGTCCATGTATGTACATTACATAGATATCTCAGTGTCCATGTATGTACATTACATAGATATCTCAGTGTCCATGTATGTACATTACATAGATATCTCAGTGTCCATGTATGTACATTACATAGATATCTCAGTGTCCATGTATGTACATTACATAGATATCTCAGTGTCCATGTATGTACATTACATAGATATCTCAGTGTCCATGTATGTACATTACATAGATATCTCAGTGTCCATGTATGTACATTACATAGATATCTCAGTGTCCATGTATGTACATTACATAGATATCTCAGTGTCCATGTATGTACATTACATAGATATCTCAGTGTCCATGTATGTACATTACATAGATATCTCAGTGTCCATGTATGTACATTACATAGATATCTCAGTGTCCATGTATGTACATTACATAGATATCTCAGTGTCCATGTATGTACATTACATAGATATCTCAGTGTCCATGTATGTACATTACATAGATATCTCAGTGTCCATGTATGTACATTACATAGATATCTCAGTGTCCATGTATGTACATTACATAGATATCTCAGTGTCCATGTATGTACATTACATAGATCTCAGTGTCCATGTATGTACACTACATAGATATCTCAGTGTCCATGTATGTACATTATATAGATATCTCAGTGTCCATGTATGTACATTATATAGATATCTCAGTGTCCATGTATGTACATTACATAGATATCTCAGTGTCCATGTATGTACATTACATAGATATCTCAGTGTCCATGTATGTACATTACATAGATATCTCAGTGTCCATGTATGTACATTACATAGATATCTCAGTGTCCATGTATGTACATTACATAGATATCTCAGTGTCCATGTATGTACATTACATAGATATCTCAGTGTCCATGTATGTACATTACATAGATATCTCAGTGTCCATGTATGTACATTACATAGATATCTCAGTGTCCATGTATGTACATTACATAGATATCTCAGTGTCCATGTATGTACATTACATAGATATCTCAGTGTCCATGTATGTACATTACATAGATATCTCAGTGTCCATGTATGTACATTACATAGATATCTCAGTGTCCATGTATGTACATTACATAGATATCTCAGTGTCCATGTATGTACATTACATAGATATCTCAGTGTCCATGTATGTACATTACATAGATATCTCAGTGTCCATGTATGTACATTACATAGATATCTCAGTGTCCATGTATGTACATTACATAGATATCTCAGTGTCCATGTATGTACATTACATAGATATCTCAGTGTCCATGTATGTACATTACATAGATATCTCAGTGTCCATGTATGTACATTACATAGATATCTCAGTGTCCATGTATGTACATTACATAGATATCTCAGTGTCCATGTATGTACATTACATAGATATCTCAGTGTCCATGTATGTACATTACATATATCTCAGTGTCCATGTATATAGATATCTCAGTGTCCATGTATATACATTATATAGACATCTCAATATTCATGAATGTATATTATAGATATCTCACTAGTCACCAATGTCCTTGATTGTACAGTTTAATAGTCCCCATGTCTGTTTGCCTTCCCAGGACCAGCACCATGGCATCCTCCAGCTTGACATTCCACGTACTAACCTGTCAGTGGCCAATATCCTGGAGCGACTAGAAGCAGCAAAGGATACGTACAGCATAACTCACTACTCTGTATCACAGACGACCCTCGACAATGTACGTAGTGAACAAGCATACCATCTCAACTGTCTACAATTTATATGTTTTTAATCCATTATTGTATCAAATCACCCTTTGTTTGTGGTCTGGTGTCTAGTTGCTATTTCAGAAATATGAAGAATCTTTCTCAAATTTCATATAAAGGTCCCTAGTTGTAAATGTTTCACTTTGAGACTTTGAGACTTTTAGCCTGTAACCTCCTTTGGTGAAGGATTGAAAAGGTTTTTTCTCAATTTAATGACCTTTAAAACGCTTTTTCAATATCATATTTTGAAATCTTTCAACAATGTTCAAAAGGCATAAAGTAATAGTAAATCTCCCAACAATTCAACATCCATATTGTTAGTAATAATATTTAGGCTATTTTCCCCAAAGTGTCAGCAAACAATGGCTCTCCAGCTCAAGGTCGGTGCCAGAACTATTGAGACTGTTCCAGCTGTTACAAACCTAGGGGTATACTTTGATAGTTCACTGAACATGGAGAAACAAGTGAACGCTATTGCCAAATCCTGTTACTACCAGATCAGGAACATCGGCTGTATTCGGCAGTTTTTAACTGCAGATGCATGCAAGATTTTGGTGCATTCACTTGTTACCTCTGGGTTTGATTATGGTAACGCCCTGCTCTGTGGTATATCTGGCAAACTAACTTGTCGTCTGCAGAGGGTCCAGAACACTGCAGCACGGCTAGTTACTCGTACTCGAAAGAGAGAGCACATCACACCTGTGCTTTATTCGTTGCACTGGTTACCTGTACGATACAGGTCGCAGTACAAAATTCTGGTGTACACATACAAGGCACTGAATGGAACAGCTCCTCAGTACCTACAGGAGCTTGTTACCCTGTATCAGCCGTCACGATCACTGTGGTCGGAGTCAGAATCTTTGTTGTGTGTCCCAAAATCTCGTACTGTGACCTACGGAAACAGATGCTTTGGAAGGGTTTCGGCTACGTTGTGGAATAGCTTACCATCTGCAATTAGAAAGTCCAATACCCTGGCAAAGTTCAAGAGGGACATCAAAACTCACCTCTTCACGTCTGCATTTTAGAATCTTTGCAAAGACGTTATGTAAATATCACCCTTATATTTGTTCAATTATGTGCACATTGCTTACTTAAATGTATAAAAGTGATTGCAAGCCTTTGTTGGGTTTTTTCGTTTTCACAATTATAACCATACTATTATCCATATGTTGTAAAGCGCTTTTAGAGTAATTTTACAAATTATATAGGGCGCTATATAAATGTTGTATATTATCATTATTATAAAATAAATTTGCGTTGACCCACTTTGAAGGTCAAAGCTTTCAGATTAATAATGGGGAGTGATACAGGCCATTTGAGCCTCATGTACTTTCCATGAAAATGGCTTATTTTTCCAATTTGAGAAATGCCACAATACTTTCCCAATAAATAAGACCACCCTTGTCTGCTCCATAATGAGTGAATATACATTTTGAAAAGTTCACCTTAGCATTAAAAATATGGAGAAATTTTAAGAAAAAAGAGTTGAGTATGAACCAGTGCATTCGACCATACAGAAAGCTGTCTCATCACACTGTTAGCCAATGATTAATTAATGTGTTCAGCTTCCAATTTTCTGCATTGTAGGTGTTCATGGGCTTCGCGAGAGAGCAGAATGACGGTCTGTCCCCCGAGTTTACTGACTGTTATTCTGGAAGTAGTGATAGCGACAGTGTTGTCACCACAGAGCCCTTCGTCAGTCCAGGCTTTAACAATTTCGCCTACTCCAACTCTGGATTTGACGGCAGTAAGTCTGATGTCCTGCAACTTCCACGTGAACCTGCTGGAAAGTTCTTACCACAAGTTACCATCTACCCAGATTTGTCAACTAAACTGTAGTTCTTATCTTACAGCAGTCCAATGGCAATACAATACAAATAGGTTGCAAGAACTGTTTTTATTTTGTTGATTGAACTTTATGTACAAAAGCAATGTGATGCTGCTAAAATACCACAATTTAGTATCCTTGTATGAAAGTAAAACCATTTATATTAGTGCAGTAAGTGAATGCAGTGCTTATTCAAATAATGTAGATTTTCCTGTAAGAGATATATACAAGACAACATTGCTGGCTGTATGTCAGACTTAATATTCTTGTGTCTTTCTGAGACGATGGCTACCTACATGTGGGATATTAATTCTTTGTTTTCGTACCTATGTCTACCCGGCACAACATCAGCATTGGTCAGACCATGGCTGTTTGTCAGTCTGTATCAACACTTCGGTACATGAAATACCTTTATATTTATACTTACCTGTATTGTATTTTGGTGATGGTAGGGAAAGCCATCAACTAAACATTCCTTTACTTTCTTACCTGGTAGTGGAAGTATGCTTCCTTTTATATACACTTTATTTCAAGATTTTAAATATATATTTTTTTAAATAGATTAAGTTTTTATTTACATATCATTAAAATGTACAATATGTGTGATGTGTTTGTGAGGTGCTAGGAATGTGTGTGTCTTGCTGACCTAACAATGCTTTACACTTCCAGCTTTGAATGCATATTTAAATCAAACAAATGATAGTTTTGCCCATGAGAGGCTTCAGGTTTTGCTAGCCGTGTTTAAATTAGGAAAACTTCAGTACAAATGTCTGTGATATCATGTGTTCAGTTCACTGACATATGGAATGCTCCATTTGAGATTCTAGCTGAGTGATGCTCTAGAGATTTTATGCAAGTGTTTTTTTAAAGGGTAAAACAATAGCTTTAATTGATGCTTATGTTGTATAGCTACCTACATCTAATACAGATGACCTTAGGGTATTTTACCAGAGATAATTAACACTCAACATGATTCAGAATCTAATGGATATTTTACCAGAGTTAATTAACACTCAACATGATTCAGAATCTAATGGATAATTAACACTCAACATGTTTCAGAGTCTAATGGATATTTTACCAGAGATAATTAACACTCAACATGATTCAGAATCTAATGGATATTTTACCAGAGTTAATTAACACTCAACATGTTTCAGAATCTAATGGATATTTTAACTCTAACTCTCAACATGTTTCAGAATCTAATGGATATTTTACCAGAGTTAATTAGCACTCAACATGATTCAGAATCTAATGGATATTTTACCAGAGATAAATAACACTCAACATGTTTCGGAATCTAATGGATATTTTACGCAGCCTCAACTCTATTTTCGGTAAGCCAGGCTGAATAATTCAGCACTTGTTTTTCCTGTTTGGTGCTTTTTTGACTCGCTGATTGTTTTAGGTGTTTCTTGCTCTAATTTTTATTTTATTTTTCTAAAAAAATATGTTACCCTAAAACATGATCCCCCCATGGCTGGTTTTAATACTAATTCAGGCACATTTTACTGGAGAAAACCATCATATATACCAATACAGTAAATGCAACAATTACGCCTGTCAGACCCTGTAATCAGACAACAGAAACAGCAGAAGTGAGCACAAACTTAGCGGAGAAGAAAAGGGGTGACTCAATCCTGGATCATCCTGTTATCTGTGTGCTTATCATTATTTTTTTGTTTTCAGTTTGTTATTTGTGCATTGTTTTTTTTTAATCTTTTTTTTTTATACAAGATGTATTACACTGTACTGTAGTAAATGTAATAAAACATTCTACGCTGAGATAGGATCATATATCAGCATTATTATAAACCAGGGTCAAAGGACATAGAGCACAGTGACTTCAGATACTGTTAATAGCTTTTGTCCAAAGTGCTTCAAATTATCCTATTTCCAGTGTCAGAAGAATTAAATGATTTAATATCACTAATTCTAATGTGTCGGACTTAGTTCACTAGATTGCTGCCCCCGTCACGATTTACACACGTGCACAGTTTGTGATTTGACTACTGATCAAGTGTTCATTAACATACATCAATGTAACATCAGTCTGTTGTTTTTTTGTTTGTGTTTTTTATTTATTGTTACAAAGATGATTTTTTGTGTAAAATTTATATTAAATCCTTACAAAGGTGTTTAAACCTTGTCTCCTTTGGTGTCACTGGTATTTTAAATGTATTCCTAGTAGTGAGATAGCTCGGCAGGAACACGTTGTATAGAGTCAGAAAGGTCCTTGGTTTGAATCCAGGTCCTAAACCCTAGACTTTCTCTGCTGTTGCTAAATCAGAACACCTTAAAGGTGAAACTGGGAATAAATTAGTCTGAATTCATTGTGATGATATTACACAATATTTAGAAAATTATTGTACACATTCAACTAATGAATGTATGCATATTTAATTAGTGAATGTATGCATATTTAACTAGTGCGTGTATGCATATTGAACTAATGAATGTACAGTATGCATATTTAATTAGTGAATGTATGCAGATTTAACTAGTGCATGTTTGCATTGTATTGTATGCAGATTTAACTAGTGAGTGTTTGCATATTAATGTGTGCAGATTTATCAAATTAATATATGCAGATTTAACAAATGAATATGCAAATTTAATTGATGAGTGCATACATGCTTATACTGTCCTGAGAACTGATAAGTTATTATTCATTTGGCTTACAGATTCTAGATTACTTGGCTGCTCTAGAAATAACATAGAGTAACTATGTAGATTGGAAATTATTTAAAAATAAAATGATTTGCATGCAAGGTGAATTGATCTAGATCTTCCATTGAAAAATTAACAGAATTGCCATAAATATCTTGTAAACATGAGAATCCGTGTATAATTGATATGGTATTGTATTTTGATAGGTTATGACCCTTTCTATAATGTGTACAATTCTATTGTGTACAGTGTATTGTATTATCTAACCAATATAAAAGAGTGTCAATGGGAATGTCAGTGTGACAGTAAACAACAGATACATCTGTTAAATGTTGCAGTCAAATACAGATCACTTTACAATGTTGTTGTTTCTTTACATTAAGGCATGTCAAAATTCTCTTCCCGGCCACTAAAACAATGTTATTAAGCTGCATTTCTGATGACATTGGTGTTTTCCCCATTGGTATGGTCAGCATTATATTGCCGTTGGAGGAAACAGCTTTATGATAAAGTTTTTCATCTTGTTTCTATATTATACATACTATATTTATATTACAGAATTAATCAATTTTAGATAAATGTCTCTGATACATTTCTGTTATTTTTTGTGTTCTATCAAAATGTATTTTATTTCCACAATTTTCTCTAGAAAAAATGAAATAGAATAAAATGCATCGCATGTTTCAAAAAGGATTAATAGAAGTTAACTAATGTACTGAATCCAGTAAAACAGATAGAAAATGTATACCATGTATCCAATCAAACGCATTCAGATTGTAAAACCGGTCTTCTTTTTTTGAAGAGATTCCAGCGTGTTTTACCCACCTGTAAGAAGATAAACTGAAAAACCTAAATCTATTAGAAAAAAACAGTGACAATTTTAGTTATATCTGAAACGTATAATGATCATTCCAGCTAGAGAACTATTTTATTAATTATATATGTAACCTGGACGATATGTTGAGGATGCCCATTGGATATACCAGGACAGTATGCTGAGCATGCTAGTTTTATAGCCATAATGGAGACCCACTCAGTTATACCTGGACAGTAGCCTGATCACCGGTGTGATCTACATGTGATGGGTAGGTTGTAGCTGGATTGTATGTTTGTTCTGGGTATGATTTGTTAGTTATACCTGGATGGTAGCCTGATCACCGGTGTGATCTACATGTGATGGGTAGGTTGTAGCTGGGTTGTAAGTTTGTTCTGGGTATGATTTGTTAGTTATACCTGGAGGGTAGCCTGATCACCGGTGTGATCTACATGTGATGGGTAGGTTGTAGCTGCATTGTAAGTTTGTTCTGGGTATGATTGGTTAGTTATACCTGGACGGTAGCTTGATCACCAGTGTGATCTGCATGTGATGGGTAGGTTGTAGCTGGATTGTAAGGTTGTTCTGGGTATGATTTGTTAGTTATACCTGGAGGGTAGCCTGATCACCGGTGTGATCTACATGTGATGGGCAGGTTGTAGCTGGATTGTAAGTTTGTTCTGGGTATGATTTGTTAGTTATACCTGGACGGTAGCCTGATCACCAGTGTGATCTGCATGTGATGGGTAGGTTGTAGCTGGATTGTAAGTTTGTTCTGGGTATGATTGGTTAGTTATACCTGGACGGTAGCCTGAAAAAAACAGTGACAATTTTAGTTATATCTGAAACGTATAATGATCATTCCAGCTAGAGACGCAACAGAGAACTATTTTATTAATTATATATGTAACCTGGACGATATGTTGAGCATGCTTGGTACTTATACCAGGACAGTATGTTGAGCATGCTAGTTTTATAGCCACAATGGAGACCCACTCTTGTGAAAATATCTCCATGTTATAGTTCCTGATTATTACAATCCTAAGGGTGCCTATATTATCTTTGTTTATGTAGTGAGCACCATACCATTCAGCATGGAGTATTTTTATATGTATCGATTTGTTTCTGTAATAACTAATATCCCGTCAGTTTCTCTGGCGTTCAACAAAAAGATATTACTTCCCATTGGTGCATCTGTCTTTACAGAACATGTGTTAATTGTTTTACCATATTAATTTAGTTAATACATATACAGGTACAGATTCAATGCAAGTTAATTAGCTGATCAGAGTATTGTTTGTTGAGAATGCAATATTTACCAATTATATATATTTTCCTTGTCTTGTTACCGTTTCTTTATGATTTTTGGTGTGTAGGGATAGGTAAGGATTAATCATCAATGCAATTTTTTTGGAATATTTTACTTTTTTTACATGTTTACTATTTCGTTTATTTGTTGGTAAGTATATTTTACTCCTGATATGCTTTAATGGAAGTTAAAAAAAATATATTTAAAAAAAAAATACAATTGTTTTTCATATCAATGCAAAAGAAATACTAAATGATGTTGTTATATTTAATTTTACCTGGTATTACCTTTAAACATTCTTTTTATTTTAGATTCCCCATTTTTTTTAACTCACTGGACCTACAAGGTTACTTTTTAATATTCACTTTCGTCTAGAAAAATGAAAATGTTTACTTTAGTGTTATTTCTATCTTCTATTGTGTGTACATAGATATTTCAGGGTAAAATCAATGAACTTAATGTAATACAATGATCCTTGTTTTCCATATTGTTAAATATGTATTCCATGTGGACCACCTTTCTTATGTGCCATCAGTACATTAGCCACTACAGATATCAAACAGGATTCTAATTGTCAATCAGATTTAGGAGAGAGATACATGTCCCATAAACAGGATCACTTGTCACAGGTTTTTTTGTGTCCTGATAGGACTTGAATATGACTGGAGAGAATGGGTACTGAGACAGGTACTCAAGTCTATATGTCACTGTTAGTCAAAACATATGGTCTAAAGTTATAACAGGAGAGAATGGGTACTGAGACAGGTACTCAAGTCTATATGTCACTGTTAGTCAGAACATATGGTCTAAAGTTATGACAGGAGAGAATGGGTACTGAGACAGGTACTCAAGTTTATATGTCACTGTAAGTCAGAACATATCATCTAAAGTTATGACAGGAGAGAATGGGTACTGAGACAGGTACTCAAGTCTACGTTTCACTGTTAGTCAGAATATATCGTCTAAATTTTCCAGGTAAAATAACTATGTAGGTATTCTAGGTCTACAAAGTTAGGCTAGATTTAAACTGACAAAGTCTCATTGTATTGTGTTGTCTGTATGTTATACTCTGTTCATTATTTCCTGTTTCTGTAGACATCAGGTTATTGTGTGGTCTGTATGTTATAATCTGTTCATTATTTCCTGTTTCTGTAGACATCAGGTTATTGTATACGATAGTGTTTGGGGTTTTTAACTTTTCCGCTGTGCTGGTCACAAATGATTCCTGTTAACTTACATGAACATGTTTTGTACCTTGAATACTTAGGAAATATTTTTTTATATATATACACATATAAAATATGCTACATATCATTTCTGATCACCAGCCATAATTAAGTACTATTCAACTAGAATATTTTTATAATCTGTAGATATCACTGGCTTTGCTAATAAAATACTATCCAAGACATAAGTGTTGTGTTGTTGGTCTATAAAACAGAGGTATTACATGTATATAATAAAGGCAATTGTTGCTTGTTATTACTAGTCATTGAGAGAATATATTCATGCTACCAGGATTTGTCTGGGGTCCAACCCTGCCCATGGGGACTTAGCCCCTTAGCCAAAACACGGAAACGGTTGAAGACCCCAACCCTATAAATGTGTAAACTGGCTGGGCCTAAATAGAGGAACACATTGAATGTTACCTGAAATGACCCTAGGTCAAACCTTACCTCTGGTCAAACCTTACCTCTGGGATCTTAGTCCCTAAATCATAACAAGGAAACTGTTTGCCCTGGATCTCACATCAGCTCTGATCAATTCAACAACAACATGCTATTACCAGCTTAGTTTTAATGGAGACATTCTCACATTGCAAAGTAGACTTTGATATGTGGAGGAACAAATTCCACACGAAGTCATACTGAAGGAACCGAATGATCGATCTTCCTTGAATTCACTGTTACACAGATATTACATTATAAATACATACTGATGTAATTCAGTCTGGATACAACTTACAGCACTCATATTCCAGGTTACTTGAACATCAGGAAAGGCGATGATTGAATAGATTTATCACCATATCAGAAGCAGGAATAGAAAGCTTTCGTTTTGAAAGGAAGGTCAGGGTGGTAAATCTGGTTGGGGATCCTGAGTTTTCATTTTAAAATGTTAGTTATATATGTTGTCTAGAAGAAGAATATACAGATATTGAAACAAAATACCTGACATTAAATATCTATATACGAGCTCCATATTGGAGTGTTAAGCATATCGACCACCTTGATCCGAGTCTGCACTCATGAAACCGTTCCAATGCTCAAACGCCTTGTTCCAGTGTTACAACTTACAAAAATAATCACATTTTGGAAAGATATAAAGCCGAATATTGTCAATGCCTAGACTTTACTTTTTATACGACCGTCAAATTTGACGGTAGTATTATGGTATGGCGTTGTCCGTCCGTCCGGCGTAAACTTTGTTTGTCCGGCAATCTCCTCCTACATTTTTCGACCGATCTATTTGAAACTTGGTATACATGATAATCATGATATGAAGTTGTGTCTCCCTTAAAAGAATTTTGATTCGACAATTTTTCCACAAGTAAATGCTCTTTGTTCATTTCAGTATTTGAATTTTGTCCGGAGATCTCCTCTTACATTTTTCGACCGATCTCTTTGACACTTGGTATACATGATAATCATGATATGAAGTTGTGTCTCCCTTAAAAGAATTTTGATTCGACAATTTTTCCACAAGTAAATGCTCTTTGTTCATTTCAGTATTTGAATTTTGTCCGGAGATCTTCTCCTACATTTTTCGACCGATCTCTTTGAAACTTGGTATACATGATATGAAGTTGTATCTCCCTTAAAAGAATTTTGATTCGACTAATTTTCAAAAGTTATTGCCCTTTGTTCATTTTAGTATTTGATTTTTGTCCGGAAATCTCCTACATTTTTCGACCGATCTCTTTGAAACTTGGTATACATGATAATCATGATATGAAGTAAATTAGTTGTGTCTCCCTTAAAAGAATTTTGATTCGACAATTTTTCCAAACGTTATTGCCTTTTGTTCATTTCAGTATTTGAATTTTGTCCGGAGATCTAATTCTTCTCCTACATTTTTCAACCGATCTCTTCGAAACTTGGTATACATGATAATCATGATATGAAGTTGTGTCTCCCGTAAAAGTTTTTTGATTCGACTAATTTTCCAAAACTTATTGCCCTTTGTTCATTTCAGTATTTGAATTTTGTCCGGAGATCTAATTCTTCTCCTACATTTTTCAACCGATCTCTTCGAAACTTGGTATACATGATAATCATGATATGAAGTTGTGTCTCCCTTAAAAGAATTTTGATTCAACGATGTTTGCAAAATTTATTGCCTTTTGTTCATTTCAGTATTTGATTTTTTGTCTGAAGATTTCTCCTACATTTTTTATAGCATATCAGCTAACCACTCTTAGTATGATGCAGATCTTATTTCAATGTAAGAAAGTATATAACACTATATGGCATTCGACGGGCGTATTTTATTCCGCCCCGCGGTACTCTTGTTTTCGTGTCACATGATTTAAGCAAGTAACACAATAATTGGTTTGAAAACAGAATCCATGTTTCAGCGTGATAACGGTTTCATAAATACGGACCCTAGTGTATCATGGGGAAAACAAACAGAGAGTACCGAAGTGTCAACTAAACCACAGTTCAAACCCTAAATCGACGAATTTTGGCAAAATATGAACAAAATATATATTTACATGGAAACCTTTGAAAATGTACAAAGAGAGTAAGTCCAGGTGTTCCGGAAGGGTAAGCTTCTTCTGCTTCAACAATGACACTCGCCGTGTACATCTGAGTCGAATCCAAGAAATGTCACGTGCTCGCATCGAGAGCTCGGGTGAGTGACAACAATAACACAAGGCACTATAATGAGCATGCTCGTCGACCGTCATATCTCACACACAGGAATAGCTGTTCCCTGCGAAATCCTGATGTCGACTATAAAATGTGTCGCTAGTCTTCTTCATCAACCTGTGTTGTTAGTTTGTCCGCCAGCAGTCCACATCTATTGCGGAAGTAATGATATTCGGAGCAAGTTCTTGAGTTCCGAATAAACTGCGACACGTAAACACCGTAGGTTGGGGAAGCAGGCTGTTAAGTTGCTTATCGTACAGCTCAGGGTAAAGCCTCGTGGTATGAAGTCCGTACGTACATAGGGTAAAGCCTCGTGGGATGAAGTCCGTACGCACATAGGGTAAAGCCTCGTGGGATGAAGTCCGTACGTACATAGGGTAAAGCCTCGTGGAGTGAAGTCCGTACGTACATAGAGTAAAGCCTCGTGGGATGAAGTCCGTACGTACATATGGTAAAGCCTCGTGGGATGATGAAGTCAGTACGTACATAGGGTAAAGCCTCGTGGGATGAAGTCCGTACGTACATAGGGTAAAGCCTCGTGGGATGAAGTCCGTACGTACATAGGGTAAAGCCTCGTGGGATGATGAAGTCCGTATGTACATAGGGTAAAGCCTCGTGGGATGAAGTCCGTACGTACATAGGGGAAAGCCTCGTGGGATGATGAAGTCCGTATGTACATAGGGAAAAGCCTCGTGGGATGAAGTCCGTACACACATAGGGTAAAGCCTCGTGGGATGATGAAGGCCGTATGTACATAGGGTAAATCCTCGTGGGATGAAGTCCGTACGTACATAGGGTAAAGCCTCGTGGGATGATGAAGTCCGTACGTGCATAGGGTAAAGCCTCGTGGGATGAAGTCCGTACGTACATAGGGTAAAGCCTCGTGGGATGATGTCCGTACGTACAAAGGGTAAAGCCTCGTAGGATAAGCAGGTACCAGTTCTAAGTACAACGTGAGGCTAGCATGGTCTTCGTCATACACCTTCTTCAACCTTTCAACTCGACACCATGGTTAACCTAACCAAGACACGCGTTGCGCACTATAGCAAATCAACTGACTCCAACAATCTGATACCCTTAACACAAATTCTGAGAAAACATGGAGGAATGCTTCAGAAACCTTCACGAAGAGCTCCAGGTAAAACACCAATCCTACAAAAGCAAAATACTGATCAACAACGCCAAGAGAACTCATGAGCTGTCAAGCGCAATCAGATGCGTTGAAGCAGGTAAGAATGTATAACTGGAAATACTTTAAAATGCCAAGAACAACCAAATATAGCGAGGAATTCGAGTAACCCAGTCAGCAAATGTTCGTTGGGCCAACGTTGCAGTCGGTCGGCAAGGTAGCAGGCGCATTTGTAAAGTTGACCCAACATACAAAATTATTTAAAAGGGCACCATAATTTGCAACTTTAAGCCAACGTTGGCGCACCAGTTGAAATACAACCAATACGCTGCTAATGTCAAGGTTGTTGCTTTGTCAAATTTCTGTCGGCAACAATATTTTGTATATGTCGGGGTAACAATGTTGTGCTAACGCTGATGTCCGACGTTGCGCCAATCTTACAGCGTTGCACACACGCATTTCGAGCCAACGTTGGTTTCACGCTAGCCCAGTGTTTAACCACTGTCTGACTGCTAGCTGGGGACACGTGTTACATGAACGGCGGAGATGTAAAGGTACTATCCAGTCTATAACAGCCATTTGGTCATTTGTCATTGTGAGGCTGATATAACCCATATAGACCCAACACATAAGGCGAAACGACATGAGCCAAATATAGATATTCCAAAGAAAGGTTTTACGTCATGTCCAGCGCCTCCTGGATGGGACAGCAACTTGTGTTCAGGATTCCACAAAAACATGATCGTCGCGAACATCATCGGTAAAAAAACCTTACCAGACAGAATATCATGATAATGATTTTTAGCCATATTTAGTTAAAATAATTGTCAATGCAATAATTCTGAAGCGGCCGTCTGTACTCTTGAGACGTATAAAGCCAGTGGTATACTCTCTGCTGTTCTTTATATATTTTGTTTTAAAAATTAGTGATTTTTGCCGCAAGTCAGTTATATCAGACCAAAAATCCCGTTATACCACCGTCCCCTTTTCCGTCCGTTCATTTTTTACATGTAAAATGATGTGTTAATTTTAATCGGATCTTTATAAAAGTCCTCTGTGTCCTGTTTAACCGTGTTATAAACAAGAGGTCCCAGAGGGATCTTGGCGCCCACTATTGTACCATCTTCAGTAGTTCAGTGTTAGTTCGATCTTTTCTCTTCCTTTCTCTTATCTGTTTGATCAGTTTGCCTGTCCGCCATCTTAATCAATCTTTTTATCAACCTTAAAAGTTAACATGCACAACTCAGGACCAAGGGGAACCTACATATCAAATTTGAGAAAAAAAATCATCCAGGAAATTCTGAGAAATAGCGATAACAAACTTAAACTGTAACAAGATGGCCAGCCGATATGATTTTATATGCATAACTAAGAACAAGAAGAACCCTTATGTGAAGTTTGAGAATGATCCCTCCAACACTATTTGAGCAATAGGGCTAAGCATCTTTTACTCCCAAATTCAATGTGACCACCTGCCAGCCATCTTGGTTTTCCAATCATCCCCAAAATTCGAAATGCGAAACTAGGAACCATTTGGAACCTTCAGGAGGAACACGTCGCCTCCGGAGGGACCACTCCTTTTCCTCTGCCACATAAATGACCTACCAGACTCAGTCAAATCACAACTACGCCTTTTCGCCGACGACTGCCTTTTGTATCGACAAATCAGAACATTCAATGACCATAACATCCTCCAAAATTACCTACAAAACTTTGAAGAATAGGCAGATAAACGGGGCATGAAATTCAATGCCAAAAAATGTTACATCATGTCAATTAGGAAAAAGACTTCAAAATTCTACAGTCTGAATAACCACATTTTGGAAGAGGTACAAAACAATCCATAATACCTAGGACTCCAGATATCAAACGACCTAAAATGGAGTACTCATACATGTATAAGCAACATCGCGAGGAAAGCGAGCTCAACTTTAGGCTTTTTGAGAAGAAATTTAAAACACTGCCCAAAAGAGTGTAAGAAAACAGTATATATATCCCTTTTTAGATCAATTCTGGACTATGGCAGTATTATTTGGGACCATCATCTAAAATCAGACATTGAAAAACTAGAGAGAATACAAAGAAGAGCAGCTCGCCTAATTACTGGAAATTACAAAAGTTGGGATGAAGGATGTGTCACAGAAATGCTACAACACCTAAAACTACCAACCTTACAAAACAGAAGGAAATCACAGCGGCTAGTATTCATGTACAAAGTAGTTGAGGGGTTAATACCAGCCCTACCCCAAGATCAGATAATCCAGCACTCTGGAAGGACGCGATAAACAAACACAAAGCGTTATGTGAACTATGAAACATCAGCAACATTAAACAGGAACATTGTCAACAACGCAAGGCCATTACTCATCCCAGGATACAAACAGGAAGCATACAAGAACTCCTTCTTCATCAAAACATCGCTTGAGTGGAACCAACTGTGATGATATAGTAGTGTACGCAGAAAGCGTAGAGGGTTTTAGATCAACCCTTTCAAAGAACACCCAAGATAAGCAACATATTCTCTCTCTCTCGCCGTGTCATGCCATTATTGGTAACTACGACGTATACAATGTAAATGAAATTTGAGAAAGATCCCTCCTGAACATTCTAAGAAATAACAATCTTTCATTCTCAAATTCAAGATGGCCGTCTGTTGGCCATCTTATTTTTCCCTGCTGTTCCAAAATTCAATATGCGTAACTAGATACATGTACAATGGGACACTTTCAGGTAAAATTTGAGAATGACCCCTCCAGAGCTTTCTGAAAAACAGCCCTAACGTACTAACTCTCAAATTCAAGATGGCTGCCTGTCGGCCATTTCGGTTTTGTGATCAGTCCCAAAAACCGATATGCATAACTAGGGATCATGAGTAACCTTCATGTGAAATTTGAGAAAGATCCTTCCAATTAGTTCTGGGAAATAGCACTAGCAAATTTTAACTCTCAAATTCAAGATGGCTGGCTGTCGGCCATCTTGGTTTTGTGATCAGTCCCAAAAATACGATATGCATAACTAAGGATCATGGGGAACATGTCTGTGAAATTTGAGAAATATCCCTCCAATACTTTATGAGAAATAGCGCTAACAAGAATTGTTTAAGGACGGAAGGAATGACGGACCACGGTCGCAGGGTTAAAAACATATACATCAGTTGTAGTTGACTTAATTCAGTTAACATTTGTTACATATCGCTAAAAAAAGGTGGACCAGAGAGTTTGTTACAGCCGCTATTTTGTAATGTGATATTTTCCTGTAGTATATTCCTATATTGGGCTTTATTATCAACGTCTAATACTTTTTCCGAACATATCAGTTACCGCAATAGCGAGAGAAAATCAGGGGAGCGAACCCAGACTAGGCGTGGTTTAGGAACTCTCCTGATTGTAGAGATAAAAAACACTACATTTCATCGTCAACATGGACCAGGGAGTCTGATAGCTCAAATAAAAACCCCGATGGTGATTGAAAGAAATCTGGTGGGTGATACTATGTAATGATTAGCCTTAAAGACAGTGTGAATCTTCTTTAAACGTAGTAACGTATTGCCTTGACGAAAAGTAGCGTTATGTACGGACTGTCAAATTTACACAAGATGAAAGTTTTTTGTGCATTGAAATTGTGCAAGATTTATTTTTGTTCAAGTCGTCTGTAGAAATGTTATAATAATCTGAAACATTCGTTCAGTGGACATTTCTTCGACACACAAATGAGAAAATTATCAATGACATTATAGACATAGAAACTACATATGTAGTAGTATGCATGCAGCAATATCACTGTATGTATGCAATGTGTGCACATTATATTGCTGTGTGTAATAGACGGAAACAGAAACTGATCACATAATGTATATGTCATCCGCATAGATCAATTACAGGGGTTCGTTACAAATGTCTGAAATACACATATGCTATACTGATATGGGCCACAGCACACATAAACATACACGTGTGCTGTGAACCATTTCAGTATAGAAAAATGTATGTGTATTTCAGACATTTGTAACGAACACCTGTGGTTCATTGCATTGCTGACGAGAGTATTAAATACATTGTCATTGTAGAGTTCAGGGGAAGTTGTCAACAACGGGCATGTACATTTTGTTGTACATCATACATGTAACATGTACTTAATATTGCCCAATATTTTAAAATGTTTATGTTTCTTACAGATGCTGACTTGTGGAACTTAATGGCCTATGTTGAATCATTTGGGTACCAGTGACTTATTAAGCTAACTAATTATGGGGGACTCGTCAGATGGAGGTGCAGTGTCCGTTTCCTCAACTTTACCTGTGAACTTTGGATCGAATCTGCACCTACCTTTATTTTCTTCCATGAGAGTTCCAAGTATGGATTCTCTTGTGAGCAACCATGGTTCCACTGTATCAGAAGATGAATACCGATTTGTAGAAGTTTCTCATCCAGCTCAGCTTCTTGCAGGATTAAATAATCTCAGAAAAAGTCGAACATTCTGTGACATCACAATATGTGTAGATGGCAGAGAGTTCTATTGTCACAAAGTGATTTTGTCGTCATTTAGCCCATATTTCAAAGCCATGTTTGCTGGAAGTATGGCTGAAAGTTTTCAAGATAAAATTTCAATTAATTGTATGGAAGCCTCCATGGTAGAACTACTCCTAGACTTTGCCTATACATCAGAGGTACTTATCAACAAGTCAAATGTCCAGTCTCTCTTGTCTGCTGCAAACCTTTTTGAAGTTTTGACAGTGAAGGAAGCTTGTTGCCATTACCTTGAACAAAACATGGACGAATCCAACTGTATAGGTATTCATTGTTTCGCTGAAATCCATGCCTGTGATGAACTACAGCAGAAATCTCGTGAATATTTATTACAGAACTTTGTCACTGTGTGGCAGCAAGATGAGTTTGTCCAGATTAACCAGTCCAAGCTGGTAGAAATACTGTCTGATGATGATCTTGTGTGTGATAGTGAAGAGGTGGTATTTGAAGCAGCAGCATGTTGGTTAAATTATGAGATTGAGAAACGTAAAGATGACTTTAACAATGTGTTGGAGTGTGTCAGACTTCCACTGACTAACCCCTACTTTATTCATGACTTTGTTGAAAGCAACATTACTATCATGCAGTCTAGGGCATGTAGGAAATTGGTTGAAGAAGCCAAGACATTTCAGCTGTTAAAGGACAGACAATGTCAATTCCACAACCAGCGGACACGACTCCGAAAAAGTGCAGGTACATATCATTTTTAGCTTACCTGGTCCAAAAGACCGGTGAGCTTATGCCATGGGCGGTGTCCGTCGTCCATCAACTTTTCCTAAAAATCGCTACTAGTTATAAACGAGTAGGGGAAATATAGCAAATTCTTTAAAATCCTTTTTCTTCTGTAGGAATGAAAGGATTTGTTCCATATTTGGTCTGAAGCATCCTTGGGTGAAGGGGAACCAATTTTGTATAAGCAGTGGGTGTAAAATGGAAGGGCCAAATAGGAGAAATAGAGGTGAAACCTTTAAAATCCTTCTTCAACTATCGGGATTAATGGATTTTATCCTTATTAAATCTGGAGCATCCTTGGGCCAAAGGGACTCAATTTTGTATAAATGGTGGGTATGACTCCCCTAGGGACATAGGGGTGGGGCTCTGTTTGAAGTTTGTTCTCACTATATCTCAAGTACTGGATGGATCTTTCTGAAATTTCATATGTAACTTCAGGTACACTTAACTGTAAAGCTGTACTAAGTTACTGCTAGGTATGTTTAGACACTGATTCTATTGTTTCTATTGTGTTTATGTAAACTGTTACATTTCAGTGATGACAGAGGTAATTGTAGCAGTCGGAGGGGAAGACGACAAGGTGGTTCTCCGCAGTGTGGAAACCCTGGACCCCAACACCTTCCAGTGGAAACCATTGGCTTGTCTTCCATTTGCAGTTAGCAAGCATGGACTAGTGGCTTCAGGCAAGGATATTTGTACCTTGTTCTTATATGGCATTTTCCATTTTACTGTGGGTATCAAAAATTTGATGACATCATGTAAGGTTTGGCTGTGATTGTGTTGTAGGCTCCACTTACCTGTACCTAGCTGGAGGAGAATACCCTGATGGCTCTGCCAGTAAAAGTGTGTGGCGGTATGATTCCTGTATTGACTGCTGGGAAGAGTTATCTCCCATGCAAGTAGCCAGATCTGAGCTAGGTATAATAGAATAACTACCTGGTAATAGGTGCTTTATACATGTGTATCACATGCTCACATACAAGTACAATCTACCTGTGTATAATACATGTAGTGATTTGACTTACAGCATACAATCATAATATAATATCATATATAGTGACTTTACTTACAGCACACAAAAAAACTCATTTAGTGTATGAAATAACACATGTTATTATATTTATAGCATACAATCACAATATATTTAAAGCATGCAATCACAAATAAATATACATCTAATTTTAATTATTAACATACTGATTTTAGCTCACTTAAATTTTAGCAATCATCAAATGGATTATCACATCGCAATAAAAAAAATACTTCATTTAGTGCATTATTTAAAGCATGATAGTCACTGAAATAAGTTTAGAATATGTATGTTTACTGTATACGATATCGTAATCAAAACTTGTATGGAATACAATGTATGTAATGTTTGTCACAAAGGTGAAAATATCTTAATACCTAAGTTAAGTAAATGTATAATGCCTTCAACAGAGTCTAACCATTATGTGACTGTCCCAGGGAACATTTTCTGTCTAGGTGTGGCGATGCTGGACTGTCACATGTATGCTGTGGGGGGTTGGGACGGCTCCAGTCGACTGGACAGTGTTGAGCAGTACAGTGTTACCACCAACAACTGGACATTTGTGTCAACCATGAAGATTGCTCTGACAAGTCCAGCAGTGGCCGCAATGGAGGGTTGTTTGTATGTAACAGGTAAGTTAAAAAGTGTAACATATCTGTAATTGTGATATTTGTTGCATATGGACTGATATTTGCTTTGTTGTATATGTATATGGACTGATGTTTGCTTGTTGTATATATGTATAATTTTCTTTTCACTTCAACTATTAATGATTAATGTTATTCAAATAACCACTTAGATAATACTTTGTATGTCCATGTTCCTGTCAGAATTTGTTCAAACGGTATTGAGCTGACAGCAGAGGATTTTTAAAGTCCTATTTTAAATTACCTCCAGGTGGAGCTGTGATGGAGGACGGGGATGGAATAGAACTGGTCCAGTGTTACAATCCTCGCACAGACAAGTGGACAGACAAGAGCTCCATGCTGATTCCTCGCTCAGGTTCTGGGGCCTGTGTCCTCAATGGGCTGCTGTATATCATAGGTAGGTTACAGGAACCCTCCTCAGGATCTGGGGCCTGTGTCCTCAACGGGCTGCTATATATCATAGGTAGGTTACAGGAACCCTCCTCAGGATCTGGGGCCTGTGTCCTCAATGGGCTGCTGTATATCATAGGTAGGTTACAGGAACCTTTAACGGGCTGCTGTATATCATAGGTAGGTTACAGGAAATAATAATAATAATAGATAATAATAAATACCATGTGCTCAATATCTTCTGGAGATCTATGATTATTACCACTTATAGTAAGCTATGGTAGGGGTGAACTTCGAAAGTGGCCCTGGAGTGACCCCATTGTCATAAACACTGTCTTCTAATGACCCTGGGTGTTGTAAGGTTGTCACACCCCAGAAAACAACCACCTATAATCATACTGTAACATGACATTTTGATTCCGGTTACCAATCATATGGGCAACCGCTGTAGTCAGATATTTCACTTTTATCATATACAGGTAGCCAACCAAACTGAAAGGGTACACATTTAATATCAATCTGAATTTGTAATGCATTGTATTTTATTTTAAGATAAAGTGTGATTATATTAAGCATGAAATATAAATTTGCTGTATGTTTTACATGTTATTGTCAAATTACAATAGTGTTGATGTTATAGAGCTATATATGCAATATTAAAAGGTTGTTATATGACAATTTTCATATCTTACTCCATATCAGCTCTCAACCCATATCGGCCCTCTGGCCTCTAGCCCCTTGAGATGAAATGGATGTCTTGGGCTGAGGTAAAATGATTGGATATGTAAATGGTAATCCCTAATTATCTGAACAAGAGAGTCGCATGAGGCAGTATTTCCTCCTGGGAGAGTCGCATGAAGCAGTATTTCCTCCTGGGAGAGTCACAGGAGGCAGTATTTCCTCCGGGGAGAGTCGCATGAGGCACTATTTACCCCTGAGAGAGTCGCATGAGGCAGTATTCCCGCTGGGAGAGTCGCATGGGGCAGTATTTCCTCCTGAGAGAGTCACAGGAGGCAGTAATTCCTCCTGGGAGAGTCACAGGAGACAGTATTTCCCCCTGAGAGTCACAGGAGGCAGTTTTCCTCCTGGGAGAGTTGCATGAGGCAGGATTCCTCCTGGGAGAGTCGCATGAAGCAGTATTTCCTCCTGGGAGAGCCACAGGAGGCAGTATTCCTCCTGGGAGAGGTGCATGAGGCAGTATTTCTCCTGGGGGGGGCCCAGGAGGCAGTAATTCCTCCTGGGAGAGTCACATGAGGCAGTATTTCCTCCTGGGAGAGTCACAGGAGGCAGTATTCCTCCTGGGAGAGTTGCATGAGGCAGTATTCCTCCTGGGAGAGTCGCATGAGGCAGTATTTCCTCCTGGGAGAGTCGCATGAGGTAGTATTTCCTCCTGGGAGAGTCACAGGAGGCAGTAATTCCTCCTGGGAGAGTCACATGAGGCAGTATTTCCTCCTGGGAGACTCGCATGAGGCAGTATTTACCCCCGCGAGAGTCACAGGAGGCAGTATTTACCCCTTAAAGAGTCACAGGAGACAGTATTTCCCCCTGAGAGAGTCACATGAGGCAATATTTCCCCCTTAATGAGTCACAGGAGGCAGTATTTCCCCCTGGGAGAGTCACATGAGGCAGTATTTCCCCCTTAATGAGTCACAGGAGACAGTATTTCCTCCTGAGAGAGTCACATGAGGCAGTATTTCCTCCTGGGAGAGTCACAGGAGGCAGTATTTCCTCCTCGGAGAGTCACAGGATGCAGTATTTCCCCCTTAAAGAGTCACAGGAGACAGTATTTCCCCCTGAGAGAGTCACATGGGGCAATATTTCCCCCTGAGAGAGTCACAGGAGGCAGTATATCCCCCTGAGAGAGTCACAGGAGACAGTATTTACCCCTGAGAGAGTCACAGGAGGCAGTATTTACCCCCGAGAGAGTCACAGGAGACAGTATTTCCCCCTGAGAAAGTCACAGGAGGCAGTTTGTCCCCCTGAGAGAGTTACAGGAGACAGTATTTCCTCCTGAGAAAGTCACAGGAGGCAGTATTTACCCCTGAGAGAGTAACATGAGGCAGTATTTCCCCCTGAGAGTCACATGAGGCAGTATTTCCTCCTGGGAGAGTAACATGAGGCAGTATTTCCCCCTGAGAAAGTCACAGGAGGCAGTATTTACCCCTGAGAGAGTTACAGGAGGCAGTATTTACCCCTGAGAGAGTTACAGGAGGCAGTATTTACCCCTGAGAGTCAATGGAGGTTCCCCCTGAGAGCCACAAGAGGCAGAAAACCTAGAGGACCATTTGCTGTTATACATTAATGGAATTCATTAGAATTGGGCTGTGCTTACATTTATAGCTGTAACCTTTTAACCTCAAAGTTAACTTTTGGACAATGATCTTCAGAAACAGTGACTTTAACCCTTTGTTCTGAATTTAGGATTTCGGACAAAGAATCTGTTGTTAGTAATAGTGACCTTCACCTTCAACAAATCTTGCCTGTATTCAATAGGGGCTTTCCTTTCCCTAGTACAACTTTGACCCTTGTGTGATTATTTGCTCAGAATTAATTCACTAACAGTGACCTTGACCTTTAAGAGAATGATAGTGAATAAATCATAATTTATATATCATTGTATCCGTGCTTGTTTGTTTATTATGAAAGGAGGTTGGCATGCATCTACAGAAAACACTAGTAAGGTTGAGTGTTACAACCCAAGGACAGACCAGTGGGTCCAAAAGAGTGCCCTATTGGAGCGACGCTACAGGCCTGGTGTCGCTGTGGTGTCTGGCAAGGTCTATGTCCTTGGAGGGGAGGAGGGCTGGGACAGGTCAGTAGGATATAAACAGCATTTAAAGTTTTAAATCAGAAGATATATTCTATGTATAACTTACTATCAATACTCAATACAAGCTATCTTGGTGTAACTTATGTTGTACCCTTGATTACAGATACCACGACACAATTGAATGCTATGATCCTGAGACAGACAGCTGGGAGATCGTAGGAGAAATGCAGTCCAGTCGAAGCTGGCTCAGCTGTGTGTCCCTGGTACTTCATAAAGATGTTCTCAATCGTGACCGACACACTCACCATTGTACTGTGTGACAAATGGGGGAGGGGGGTGTATACAGGAATCAAGTGTTCTGTGTTCTGTCTGTGCTTTTATCCGTCCTCCCTAGACAGAATCTTTAATGGACAACTTCTCCTTCAGTATTTTCCTGAATTTTATGGAACACCACAAATATAATCATCCTACTCAAAAGTTGTACATGTGTACTTCCTTGATCTGGATATTTTCATTGGAGATGCCCATTTTACCAAATCCTTAGCAAAGCTTTCTTCACTCTGTTAGACATTATGTCCAGAATAATGATCATAAAATATAAAATGCTCGTAGATAATAGATTTCATGCTTAGAAGTGAAATTAGTTCGGGATTTTTTTCTTAAGTAGTTATATTGCTTACAATGATTAAAGGTGTTATATATTGTACATGAAATCTAAGATGGAAATTGTGGGATCAATATTTTGCTACAACATCGTCAAAATCTCCCTTTCAAGACATTTTCATTAATATGTCTGAGCTAGTAATTAATGTTTTTCATTGGTTAAAAACGAATCTCAGTAAATCCTTTTTTGACAATCTTGCATCATTGACCAAATGGTTCATTGGTATAGAACTTATACTTGTTGTTTTCGTTTTAGAAATACGTGTACAGGCAAGGTTTTAGGCCATCAAGTGGAATTCATTTGTGAATGAGTTTTTCTTAAATGATTATATTGATTTACAATAATTAAATGACAAGGGAAGATAACTATGGTTTTGGATGTTACAGTTTGTGTGTAAATGTACCTAATACTGAATAGTTGTACTCTGGTTCTCAGAGTTATCTTTCTTGGTCTCATACTTTCATCCTCAATTTCATAGTTAAGAGTTTATGTGTCAGGATTCAAGGACGAAAGGTGGAATTAATGGAAACTTTCCTGTCAAAAGGAAAGAAAATATTACTTTTGCTACTTAAAACCTATTTCACATGCAACATGTGATTTTTTTGTCATACATTTTTAACAGGTATGACAGAAGGATCTGTAAGTTGGTAGAGGTGGATTTCAAACCTGTTTAGTAGGGTTCACATATAGAATATGTGTCATACTATGACTATCGTGGAAATCATGTCAAGGCTGTCAAAGTTAAATCCTACAATGTTCCTAAGACAATTGTATGACCACACCCCCTTTGGTTGTCACGAGGAAAAATAAGTTGTTGTAGAAAAGTCCTGAGATAATTGGTTGTTGTAGGAAGATCATACATTTGCAGCACAAATATTGTACTCTGAACCTTAAAGCTCATAGCCCGATTGTCTCAGGTTCTCTCTGTTGTACTCTCAACCATAAAGCTCATAGACATGCTATCTCAGACTCTCTCTGTTGTACTCTCAACCTTGAAGCTCATAACCAGACTGTCTCAGACTCTCTCTGTTTTACTCTCAACCTTAAAGCTCATAGCCCGATTGTCTCAGGTTCTCTCTGTTGTACTCTGAACCTTAAAGCTCATAGCCAGACTATCTCAGGTTCTCTTTGTTGTACTCTCAACCTTAAAGCTCATAGCCAGACTGTCTCAGACTCTCTCTGTTGTACTCTCAACCTTAAAGCTCATTCATAGCCAGACTATCTCAGGTTCTCTCTGTTGTACTCTCAACCTCACAGCCAGACTCTCAGGGTCTCTCTGTTGGACTCTCAACCTTACAGCTCATAGCCAGACTATCTCAGGCTCTCTCTGTTGTACTCTCAACCTCACAGCTCATAGCCAGACTCTCTCAGGTTCTCTCTGTTGTACTCTCAACCTCACAGCCAGACTCTCAGGGTCTCTCTGTTGTACTCTCAACCTTACAGCTCATAGCCAGACTCTCAGGTTCTCTCCGTGTACTCTCAACCTTAAAGCTCATAACCAGATTCTCTCAGGCTCTTTCTATTGTACTCTCAATCTTACAGCTCTTATAGCCAGACTCTCTCAGGTTCTCTCTGTTGTACTCTCAACCTCACAGCTCATAGCCAGACTCTCAGGGTCTCTCTGTTGTACTCTGAACCTTACAGCTCATAGCCAGACTCTCAGGTTCTCTCTGTTGTACTCTCAACCTTACAGTTCATAGCCAGACTATCTCAGGTTCTCTCTGTTGTACTCTCAACCTTACAGCTCATAGCCAGACTCTAAGGTTCTCTCTGTTGTACTCTCAACCTTGCAGCTCATAGCCAGACTATCTCAGACTCTCTCTGTTGTACTCTCAACCTCACAGCCAGACTCTAAGGTTCTCTCTGTTGTACTCTCAACCTTAAAGCTCATAGCCAGACTGTCTCAGACTCTCTCTGTTGTACTCTCAACCTTACAGCTCATAGCCCGACTGTCTCAGGTTCTCTCTGTTGTACTCTCAACCTTAAAGCTCATAGACAGACTATCTCAGACTCTCTCTGTTGTACTCTCAACCTCACAGCTCATAGCCCGACTGTCTCAGGTTCTCACCGTTGTACTCCTAACCTTAAAGCTCATAGCCAGACTATCTCAGGTTCTCTCTGTTGTACTCTCAACCTTACAGCTCATAGCCAGACTGTCTCAGACTCTCTCTGTTGTACTCTCAACCTTACAGCTCATAACCAGATTCTCTCAGGCTCTTTCTGTTGTACTCTCAACCTTACAGCTCTCATAGCCAGACTCTCTCAGGTTCTCTCTGTTGTACTCTCAACCTTACAGCTCATAGCCAGACTGTCTCAGACTCTCTCTGTTGTACTCTCAACCTCACAGCTCATAGCCAGACTATCTCAGGTTCTCTCTGTTGTACTCTCAACCTTAAAGCTCATAGCTAGACTCTCTCAGGTTCTCTCTGATGACATTGCCATCTTTATGAAGCAGAGGTATCCAGATATTCCAGTATTATATAGCCAGGAGATCTACTGCCACACAACTGTCGTTATAATAATAATGATAATTCGAGGTTCTTATATACCGCTTTATCACAACCTAGTTCGTAGGTCGTCTCAAAGCTCCCTGGGGAGCATACAGCCGGTGCTGCCATTTCGGCGGTCACAGCTAGCATTCTACAATTATAGCACTGCCCAACTACATATTCATTGACAGCTGAGTAGACTGGAACAAGCGGAGTAAAGTATTTTGCTCAAAGATACAACACAGTGCCGTGACTCGAACACGAAACCCTTCGGTCACGAGCCTGGCATTCTACCACTAGACTACCAGCCTCCTTAGATAGAGTTTTAGTCGTAGGATTAACCCATGACATTCGCAGACAGGACGTATGATTATGGAACTTTCATAATAATAATAATAATTTGAGGTCCTTAAATACCGCTTTATCACAACCTAGTTCGTAGGTCGTCTCAAAGCGGTTCACAAATTATTATTCGTGGTTATAGGGCCTTTGCAACCAGCCAATACCTTTCTCAACTCCCTGGGGAGCATACAGCCGGAGCTGCCATTTCGGCGCTAACAGCTAGCATTCAACATTTCTAGCACTGCCCAACCACATACTCATTTACAGCTGGAACAAGCAGAGTAAAGTATCTTGCTCAAAGATACAACACAGTGCCGTGCCGTGACTCGAACACGCAACCCTTCGGTAACGAGCCTGGTGTCCTACCACTAGACTATCGTGTATCTATTAGAACTGTGTTTAAAAACTGTAGGAAAACTGTAGAACTATTGTTGAAAATTGCCCAACATCTTTCGTAGTATTCTAGGAATTCTCCACATTTTCTGTCGTAGCATGTTGTGCCATGTATGTAAAAGGGGTTTTACTCATTGTAGCCAGGATACAGGTATATAACTAGTTTATATCTTAGTTGGCTTCATATCTTTAATACAGTGTGTATTTTTACTATTGACTGTTCATTGTACAGTGTATATCCTATAGAGAAACTGTCCGATGTGCTTGGTTTACTCCTTATTGATTTATATTATCTTACTTTTATGCAAGGAAAATCCTTCATAATTTAAAGTTACAGTAAATAATATATTTTAGTGCTCTGAAGTTTTAGCGCATTGTTGAATTATAACCGATTAGTATATTAGTGAACTGGTGCCCCCACAATACTTGCTGTAGTACACAGTATATCGAGTAACTTCAGTTAGAGTATTCAGGATCTGCTGTAGTACACAGTATATAGAGTAACTTCAGTTAGAGTATTCAGGATCTGCTGTAGTACACAGTATATAGAGTAACTTCAGTTAGAGTATTCAGGATCAAATGCAATGTTTAAAGAATAAAACACACCAAAGTAAGATTACCTGTTACATATTTTAAATTATTTTGATCTGATTTTTTGTGATAACTTATTGCTGTGTGCTATTTTACTGTACTGTTTTATATGTTATTTTTCTATAGTTTATTTATTTCCTAGCTCGCTTGATGCCAGAATATAACCAAAATGGTGTTTGCCATGACATTTTATAATTTTACATTTTCTGATTTTGTTGTATGATAATGCTTGAATTGATTTGTCTGGTGAGAAATTGCTTTGTAAGTTCAGACTAGTTCTAGATTTGTGTTGACCACTAAAGGGTTAAAATGCTTTCTTATTATAAAATATCAAATATTGTCTATACTTGTTTGTTATTTATCATTTGAGATAGCAGGGAACCACACCAAAGTTGGTTGATTAGGAAACCTGATGGTCCAATAAACTTTGTGTGAGAACCTTTGCTCCCGGACAACATGCCCAGAGTACAGTTTTCGTTAGAGCCAAGGCCAAGATTGTCAGGTCAGATGTACAGTTGTGGGATGTGTGCACGGTGTGTGAACGGTGTGTGCACGATGGGCGAACGATAAAAAGCTGGACGATCATTGCTTGCGCACATATGTGCGCACGATTGACAGACGTTGTTCGATAACAATCGTGGTTGGTGTAAATTGAGGAATGCCTTAACAATTTATACGGTTTGGTGTTTAAACATATAAACTTGTAGTTTACGTATGTTTCTATATTCTAGCAACATCTATAAACTTATCTTTCTGTCTATACATTCTTATATTTAGAAATTGTGTTTTCTGTGTTTTTAAACAAATTTAATCGACACATGTAAAATTACAACACAATCCTTTATACAGGTAAACATAACCACTTTGTACATGTACCTGGACCGTAGTTTACTCCCCGCCTGGGGCACTTACATAACTCGTCAGGTAAGGCCGGGGGTGTGAAAATCCAGGTGAAGGGGAGCTATAGGCAAACGAATGCAAATAACAAATACTATTCATTATGGTCAAACGGTATCGCATATCAGCTCTGTGTGTCAGGCACTGGTCAGGTAAAACTCCGGACACTCATAAAATTGTTATTTACCTGTTCTGTTACCATGGAGCCAAACCCATTCTTGACAGCCTAACGGTCGCTGTAATACTGTGTAACACGCATTGTGAAATTGTATAATCTTGATTATTGTGATGAGAAAGTACAGATATATACACAGTTTACATTATCGCACACAATCCTTCGTATTTTTGTCATTCCGTAATTTTGATCTACAAATGATACCAAATTGCACAGTTGTGCGGAGAGAAGCGCACAACGGGGCGAACGATTGCTAAATCGCACCATGTGTGGACGATGTGCGGATGGTGTGTGAACGATGTATGCACGGTGTGCGCACGCTATTTTTGGTAAGTTGTGCGGTCCCACAACTGTAGTTGTTAGGTCATTGGAGTCACTCGATGACCTACACTCGGGTGACCTACGTACTGTAATTGTCTTTTGTCATGCGACGTCCATCTTCTATTGCGCATCCTCTGAGTCAATCATTAGTTTTACTTCTCGTAACCGACTGTCAGATTTTGATGGTAATCATCAGCCTGAGGTGGGGATCAGAACGTATACTCAAGGTGAGGCTGACCACCAGGTGGCTGAGGGACAGGGCCATAATGAATTTATACTCAAGGTGAGGCTGACCACCAGGTGGCTGAGGGACATGGCCATAATGAATGTATACTCAAGGTGAGGCTGACCACCAGGTGGCTGAGGGACAGGGCCATAATTGATCACAGAGTGCAAAACCTCCAAAAGACTTCTGTGCAACCTAAAGGTGGATTTTCATCAACATTTTTCATAGACTAATGCTAAGATCACGAGGATGAGATAATGTATAATCAAGAAGGGTCTGATCCTCAAAGGAGGTCACTCTGTACAAAAACTGAAACCATTTTTTTGTCTTCTCTTTCAAAAGCTCTTGTCAGATTTTGATTTAACTTGGTGGTAACCAACAGCCTGAGGTGGGGTTCAGAATTTATACTTGTTATGGGTCTAACAGTCAGGGCCACAATGGGTGTACCCCCATAATACACATCCCCTGAGCTCAATACACAACCCTAGAGATCAATACACATCCCCTGAGGTCAATACACAACCCTGGAGATCAGTACACATCCCCTGAGCTCAATACACAACCCTGGAGATCAATAAACATCCCCTGAGCTCAATACACAACCCTGTATATCAATAAACATCCCCTGAGCTAAATACACATCCCTGGATATCAATATACATCCGCGGAGATCAATACACATCCCCTGAGCTCAATACACAACCCTGGAGATCAATAAACATCCCCTGAGCTCAATACACAACCCTGGAGATCAATAAACATCCCGGGAGATCAATAAATATCCCCTGAGCTCAATACACAACCCTGGAGATCAATAAACATCCCTGGAGATCAATTAACATCGACTAAGTTCAATACATAACCATGGAGATTAATAAACATCCCCTGAGCTCAATACACAACCCTGGAAATCAATAAACATTCCCTGAGCTCAATACACAACCATGGAGATCAATATACATCCCCTGAGCTCAATACACATCCCTGGAAATCAATACTCATCCCCTGAGCTCAATACACATCCCTGGAAATCAATAAACATTGCCTGAGCTCAATACACAACCCTGGAAATCAATAAACATTCCCTGAGCTCAATACACATCCCTGGAAATCAATAAACATTCCCTGAGCTCAATACACAACAATGGAGATCAATAAACATCCCATGAGCTCAATACACAACCCTGGAAATCAATAAAAAAAATCCCCTGAGCTCAATACATATCCATGGAGATCAATACACATCCCCTGGGCTTAATACACAACCCTGGAAATCAATAAACATCCCCTGAGCTCAATACACAACCATGGAGATCAATAAACATCCCATGAGCTCAATACACATCCCTGGAGATCAATAAACACCCCTGGAGATCAATACACATCCCTGGAGCTCAATACACAACCATGGAGATCAATAAACATCCCATGAGCTCAATAAACACCCCTGGATATCAATACACTCCCTTGGAGATCAATACACATCACTGAAGATTAAAATACACCCTTCGTGATTAGTACACATTCCTGAAGATCAAATATGTTTCTATTGCTGCTATTCAAAAAGTTTGCTGCCATTTTTCTTGTAAAATTCTTGCATGCTGTCATCTTCTTTGTGCTATTTGATAAAATTGCTGTAATTTATCTAGTGTTATGTGAAAAGATAGCTTTCATATTTCTAGTGTTATTTGACAAAACATCTGAAATGTCTCCAGACTGGTACTTTGTTTGCATCATTAGTTTCTGCAGTAAATGACAATAGTGTAGAGATTGCCAAGATTAGAATTTATAACACCAACAATGTGAAGGTGATAATTGTTTAAGATGGTCTTGATATATTTATGATATACAAGTAAACCTTCAATACATGTGCTTAGTGGAGCTGTGAAATATCTTGTCTCGTCTCATGAAATTCAGAATCACAGCAGAACAGCTATGAAAGGAAGCAAATGAGTGTTACTGTGTGATACTCCCGATAGTAAAGGCAGTAAACCCACTGTCTGCAACCAGCCGATTGATATGTCAGTCTGCCCTAAACCAAACACACCAATAACATTTAGTATCCGAAGCATAATTTGACCAATGCTAAAAAGTAATAAGAATACATTTATATCTGATGTCTACCAATGATCTTAAAAGGAAAACACTTTTCGTATTTCCTTCCAAAAAAATGAAATAATTGCATACATCAATAAAAAGTGTCTATCAGTTACATAACTTAAGTCAAGCTCTTTGTAATTGGTGAAAGAAAGAAGTTAAACGAAGACAACATATACCAATAAGAGTTTTCTGTGAGATTTTAACTCTTTCTCACTCTGACAAGATAATAGCAGAGGTCTAGACCAATGTTTGGACTAGATTGGTTTTATGTTTCCGTCCGACATAGCTACAATCATGGATGTTTCCTTCATCTGTTTTACTGCTCTTTTATGTTATCTAGTTGCCGGTTTTTTGTGTGACAGACATATTGCTTCATTTTAACGTGCTCTGTGAGTTGGCTTTTGTGTGGCCTTGTGATTCTGTCATTGTAGAGTCTAGCAATCCTAGATGAGGTGTCATAACCTTAACTTGTTGTCTGGAATACAACATCCCACTGGAAAACCCGTTTGACCGGGTTCCATAGCCAGATTTTAGGATCTTCGGGTCATTTTGTTATCAATGATCCCCTATCTGGTGGTCCAGACTCGTCACTCTGTCTACAGGACGAATCTGACCTCAGGAGGTCACCAGACTGATGGTCATCTTGCTTGACCTTGCTTGTTTAAAGCTGCACAGTATTATTTTTCTTAACTAGATTAATGTAAAGTGTTAGAACTGGCTGTACCGATTACATCAATAAGGACGTGTTCTATTTAGGCTACAGAATGACATGTTTCTGTATCACCTTGTCTTTCTGCCTTATTCTGATTGTAGAAACAATAATTTTGTCAGAATAAAACTCTCTATACTTCTCACCAGAAAATCGGTGACAAACAACTCCTAACACCTGATTTACAGTTTTTCTATTTTAATCCACATTTATTCAGCTTATCCATATGTCAGTAACAAAAACTTTGCTGTAAGTTACTCCTGTATCCACACCAGCCTCCTTCAGACATCACCAGAGGATAACATGTAATATCATCTCTTTTAATCACACTCAAATACAAGTCTAACGTTTTGTTTATCTAACAGTACCGTCGTTATTCCATTACACCATGAACCGCAAATATTTGTCCCAGCAATACTTTGGAAGTCCTCACTGTCTGTCATACATCCAAGTGTCCAGTCTGTAGAGTTAATTGTCTGTCATACATCCAAGTGTCCAGTCTGTAGAGTCCTATGTTTATCATACATACAAGTGTGCAGTCTGTAGAGTTACTTGTCTGTCATACATCCAAGTGTCCAGTCTGTAGAGTCCTATGTCTGTCATACATCCAAGTGTGCAGTCTATAGAGTAACTTGTCTGTCATACATCCAAGTGTCCAGTCTGTCGAGTCCTATGTCTGTCATACATCCAAATGTCCAGTCTGTAGAGTAACTTGTCTGTCATACATCCAAGTGTCCAGTCTGTAGAGTTACTTGTCTGTCATACATCCAAGTGTCCAGTCTGTGGAGTCCTGTCTGTCATACATACAAGTGTCTAGTCTGTAGAATCCTATGTCTGTCATACATCCAAGTGTGCAGTCTGTAGAGTCCTGTCTGTCATACATCCAAGTGTGCAGTCTGTAGAGTCCTATGTCTGTCATACAAACAAGTGTCCAGTCTGTAGAGTCCTATGTCTGTCATACATCCAAGTGTCTAATCTGTGGAGTCCTATGTCTGTCATACATACAAGTGTGCAGTCTGTAGAGTCCTATGTCTGTCATACATCCAAGTGTGCAGTCTGTAGAGTCCTATGTCTGTCATACATACAAGTGTCCAGTCTGTAGAGTCCTATGTCTATCATACATCCAAGTGTCTAATCTGTGGAGTCCTATGTCTGTCATACATACAAGTGTCCAGTCGGTAGAGTCCTGTCTATCATACATCCAAGTGTGCAGTCTGTAGAGTCCTATGTCTGTCATACATCCAAGTGTCCAGTCTGTGGAGTAACTTGTCTGTCATACATCCAAGTGTGCAGTCTGTAGAGTAACTTGTCTGTCATACATCCAAGTGTCCAGTCTGTGGAGTCCTATGTCTGTCATACATACAAGTGTCCAGTCTGTAGAGTCCTATGTCTATCATACATCCAAGTGTCCAGTCTGTGGAGTCCTATGTCTGTCATACATACAAGTGCGCAGTCTGTAGAGTAACTTGTCTGTCATACATCCAAGTGTCCAGTCTGTGGAGTCCTATGTCTGTCATACATCCAAGTGTCCAGTCTGTAGAGTCCTATGTCTGTCATACATACAAGTGTGCAGTCTGTAGAGTCCTATGTCTGTCATACATACAAGTGTGCAGTCTGTAGAGTCCTATGTCTGTCATACATCCAAGTGTGCAGTCTGTAGAGCCGTATGTCTGTTATACATACAAGTGTGCAGTCTGTAGAGTTACTTGTCTGTCATACATCCAAGTGTCCAGTCTGTAAGAGAGTGTACTTTGTGATAAATTGTTGGTTGAGATCTCCCTCCAGACATTTGACTGCTCGGAAGTGGATACTGCCTGCCTCCTCCGGACGGCCCTGTGGGTGGGTCTGTTCCAGTTGAATAAAGTCGATCCACAGGTCTGTAAAAAAATAATAATAATAAACTGAGTTTACTTTGTATATATCCTTTGAGTTTACTTGGTCTTGCTTGTTAATTAAGAAACAAGTGACGGATAAAATAAGGAAAAACAGTTATTGAATTCTAATACTAGAAAGTGTCCATAATTGAGGAAAGATGTATGATGATGATCCTTTACATGAGGAAAATGTACAGCATTCCATCCCAGGTACCTACTGGCTAAACATCAAGACCCTGGGTATTTCAGTTTTCAAGAAAAAGTTGTTCCAATAAAAAGGTTGATGGAAAGATGACAGACACTGCATCATACCATAAGCTCACAAACACTTTGTCCCAATTGAGGTAAAAATGTATGTTATTAAACCCTATTCATGAAGCATCACACAAGCTGTTAACTGTAGGCAGATCTTGATTTAAGTTTTTATAAGGGAGTGGAAATAAGCTTTGAAAAGAGAGAAAATCTAATACAATTATCACGAGATAGAAATAGCCATTGACCTTCTGTTGTGTACAGAGTGAGGCAATATGGCGACATCCAAACCAACAATGCTGTCTCTAGAAAGCTGAAGTAGCAGCGACCAGCTGATGTGCTGTCACCAGATCCATTAGTGGAAGTCAACATCATTCGACCACACAAAATCAACAACAGTGAAACGGCAAATTAAAATCTCCAGTGTTAACTGTTTCAATGATGTCAGAGGCAAATTGATACTTTATAATTTACAATACCCCGGCATATCTGTCCGGTGGATAAAGAGTGAGGATTCATCAATACAAATAACAAAGATTTTATTGAAGATTAGTAAAACTAGTACAACTGAGATATTTTTAAACTTCTCTTTAGATAAGTGGCCATTTTAATTAATAACTTTTCAGTGCTTTGTAGTGTAGAGATAGTTATAAAGAAAGAATCCTGAAGGAACTTAACAAACTGCAGAGAACTAACTCATTAATGGACTGTACAGTAGCTAGCCTGACTAGTTCAGTGTTATAGGGACTGTACAGTAGCTAGCCTGACTTGCCCAGTGTTATATGTTCTGTACAATAGCTAGCCTGACTAGTTCAGTATTATAGGGACTGTACAGTAGCTAGCCTGACTCGCCCAGTGTTATAGGGACTGTACAGTAGCTAGCCTGACTAGTTCAGTGTTATATGTACTGTACAGTACTGTACTGTACATACACACAGTAGCTAGCCTGACTAGTTCAGTATTATAGGGACTGTACAGTAGATAGCCTGACTAGTTCAGTGTTAAAGGGACTGTACAGTAGATAGCCTGACTAGTTCAGTGTTAAAGGGACTGTTCAGTAGCTAGCCTGACTAGCTCAGTGTTATATGTACTGTACAGTAGCTAGCCAGACTAGTTCAGTGTTATATGTACTGTACATACACACAGTAGCTAGCCTGACTAGTTCAGTGTTAAAGGGACTGTACAGTAGATAGCCTGACTAGTTCAGTGTTAAAGGGACTGTTCAGTAGCTAGCCTGACTAGCTCAGTGTTATATGTACTGTACAGTATCTAGCCTGACTAGCTCAGTGCTACATGTACTGTACAGTAGCTAGCGTGACTAGTTCAGTGTTAAAGTGACTGTACAGTAGATAGCCTGACTATTTCAGTGTTATATTTACTGTACATGCAAACAGTAGCTAGCCTCACTAGTTCAGTGTTAAAGTGACTGTACAGTAGATAGCGTGACTAGTTCAGTGTTATATCTACTGTACAGTAGCTAGCCTGACTAGTTCAGTGTTATATGTACTGTACATACACACAGTAGCTAGCCTGACTAGTACAGTATTATAGGGACTGTACAGTAGCTAGCCTGACTTGAAAATAGGAGGACAGGGTTTGGTTTGGTTTAATTTTGCTTAACGTCATATTAACAGCTTAGGTCATTTAAGGACATGCCTCCATGTGTGTAGTGTATGCGTGCTTGCATGTGTGTATGCAGGAGACAGGGTATGTTGGTGTGCTTGCCTCCTTGTGATAGCGCTGATCTGATGCCAACTTTATAGTGCTATCTCACTGAAATACCATGCCAAAGACACCCAGCACAGCATTCCGCCCGGTCACATTATACTGACAACGGGTGACCAGTTGTTGCCATTCCCCTCAATGCTGAACGTTAAGCAGGGAATAACATCTACAATATTTAAGGACTTTANCCAGTTGTTGCCATTCCTCTCAATGCTGAACGTTAAGCAGGGAATAACATCTACAATATTTAAGGACTTTAGTTTATCCCAGCCTTGGGACAGAACCCATTGTCTTCCTCACCTAGGCGAATGCTCAACATTAAGGCAAAAAGTGAGGTGATGCCAAGCAAGGCGCTAGGAAATAGAAGATAGTTAGAAGTAGAAAGAACGATAAAGATCCCAACTATTGCAATGGGTACAGCAGATTTATTTTGGTCGATTTTGTGTCCCCAAATAGAGGACACCAAAAGCAAATCCCCATTTCTGCAGGGCGTTCCCACATTAGTCGCCTCCTTCAATACATGCAGTGGGTAACAGCAGGTGTATACCAGTCCCCAAATAGAGGACACTAAAGCAAATCCCCATTTCTGCAAGGCGTTCCCACTTTAGTCGCCTCCTACGATACATGCGGTGGGTAACAGCAGGTGTATACTATAGCTAGTCCCCAAATAGAGGACACTAAAGCAAATCCCCATTTCTGCAAGGCGTTCCCACTTTAGTCGCCTCCTACGATACATGCGGTGGGTAACAGCAGGTGTATACTATAGCTAGTCCCCAAATAGAGGACACTAAAGCAAATCCCCATTTCTGCAAGGCGTTCCCACTTTAGTCGCCTCCTACGATACATGCAGTGGGTAACAGCAGGTGTATTCTTTCCCAATCCCCCACCTGCAGGGGTGAGGAAGACAGGGACCTAACAGTCTGATATAAAATCACAGTATCCTGTACCCACAACTTACTGCTGTATACCACACCTGGGAAGTGTGCCAGTCTCACGGCCAACAAACTCTGCTTCAGTTGGACGTTTTTTACAATAGTTGCCATATGCCTTTCCTGACATGCAATACAGTAATTAATACAACAATAAATGTTAAAGCGATCAATCGACAGAGTTCATATCCTAAGCACGATCATCTGTTATTTGGCAAAGAATATAATTTATTGATCAACCGTTTGAATAAAAAAACATCCTGAGTCATTCTGAAACAGTGAAGTGATTGATCGTGACGACCAAATGACAAATCAATGGCATGCAAAACTATCTTTCAACAATTTTGTCTTTATATAATTTGTCACGTTCTAACTATGACAAAATATTAGGTAATGTATTTGGCCTTGGTTCAAGTACTTACTCTGGAGGTATTACAAGGTTTACTTATCTAGAGAGAGTACATAGTTGACTGATCTACAGACAGTACACGATTTACAGATCTTGAGGAAGTACATGGTTTATTGATCTAGATAAACTAAATGGTTCATTTATCTAGAAGGATCACATGGTTCACTGAACTAGAGAGAAAACATGGTTTACAGATCTATAGAGGGTAAATGGTTCACTGATTTAGAGAGTACATGGTTTACAGATCTAAAGAGGGTAAATGGTTCACTGATTTAGAGAGTACATGGTTCACTGATTTAGAGAATACATGGTTTACAGATCTAAAGGGGGTAAATGGTTCACTGATTAAGAGAATACATGGTTTACAGATCTAAAGAGGGTAAATGGTTCACTGATTTAGAGAGTACATGGTTTACAGATCTAAAGGGGGTAAATGGTTCACTGATCTAGAGAGTACATGGTTCACTGATCTAGAAAGTACATGGTTCACTGATTTAGAGAGTACATGGTTTACTAATTTATAAAGAAGTACATGGTTTGCTGACATGTGCTGACTAACTCACCAGCATTTGTAGACCCAAACTCAGATATTGCATTCTCATAGGCCTGTCGTAGGAGCTTCATCTTGGGTTTGGCCTGAAACACATATGTATTTTGTAGAAGATAACAAGAAATGATAAGCATATAGAATAAAACAAGGAAACTAACTGGTCAGGAAGGATGGTGAGTGAGGGCTCTGGAAACATTTCGGGAACTAAACCACTACACCTGTTAAAGCTTGATGTTAGGACACTGGTAACATTCAGAGAACCTCCTATGGGGTAACACACAACAAACTAGTGTTCATTATTGCCATAGCCATACATCTTGGTGTTTATAAAATATTAAGAAAGCAACAAAATTTACCTACTTAACTTACTGTTGATCAAAATGAAATAATTGAAAGATACAAATAAAGAAATAGAGTGGATTCATGTCATGCACTGCCCTGGAATAGCAGTTTTCAATTAAAATTTTGTAATAGATATTTAATTATCTTATTCAATTTTCCATGAAAATGAACAGAAAAAAGATATTTAGGAAGTAAGGTCATAAATAAAATGCATTACTAAATCTATGCATAAAGCCTCCAACAAGACTGTCTTTTTTTGTAAATGAATAAAGCCACCAATAAGATTAGATTTTTTCTAGATGAATTAAGCCACCAGTAAGACTGTTTTTTTTTTATCTAAATGAATAAAGCCACCAATAAGATTGATTTTTTTCTAGATGAATTAAGCCACCAGTAAGACTAGATTTTTTCTTTAAATGAATAAAGCCACCAGTAAGACTAGATTTTTTCTAAATGAAAAAGCTATCAATAAGACTAGATTTTTTTTTTTAATTGAATAAAGCCACCAGTAAGACTAGATATTTTTTTTAATTGAATAAAGCCACCAATAAGACTAGATTTTTTTTTTAATTGAATAAAGCCACCATTAAGACTAGATTTTTTTTCTAATTGAATAAAGCCACCAGTAAGACTAGATATTTTTTTTAATTGAATAAAGCCACCAGTAAGACTAGATATTTTTTTTAAATGAATAAAGCCACCAATAAGACTGATTTTTTCTTAATGAAAAAGCTACCAATAAGACTAGATTTTTTTTTAATTGAATAAAGCAACCAATAAGACTAGATTTTTTTTTCTAAATGAATAAAGCTACCAATAAGACTAGATTTTTTCTAAATGAATAAAGCTACCAATAGGACTAGATTTTTTTTTCTAATTGAATAAAGCCACCAATAAGACTGATTTTTTTTCTAAATGAATAAAGCCACCAATAAGACTAGATTTTTTTTTCTAATTGAATAAAGCTACTAAATAAATAAAGCCACCAAAAAGACTGATTTTTTTTGTAAATTCATATTTGCTAAGACTGATAATACATTAAAGCTAGATTTTATTACCATCACTCAATTGCTAAATATTCGCCATAAAAGAGTTAGCTCCCTTCCATTGGAATTGATCCAATGGTCTACCAATTAGCCAATGAAATTGTCGCGTGCTACTTAGTTATTAAAAAACTTCACTCATACTCAAACTTGTTTTCTTCACTTTTATGTAACATATATGTTGACCAAGTTTCATCAGATTATTTGATTTCTTTACTGAGCAGAAACAACAGCAGTTTAGAATGTTTCGAATTCTTATTAATTATGCATGAATTTTGCTCCAATTAAAAATCTGTCCTCTGTAAATTGTATATGCTTAGATTTTTTAAAATAAAAATCGGATAATGAAGCAAGTTCTAATGCGTAAGTAAAATTGGATAGAGACAAGATTAATGTGATTGGGCATCTGCGAGGCCCCAACAAGGGATACTTGGTGTGTAAAAAGAAACAAAGGATACTTGGTGTGTACAAAGTAACAAGGTTTACTTGGTGTGTACAAAGTAACAAGGTTTACTTGGTGTGAACAAAGTAACAAGGTGTACTTGGTGTGTATAAAGTAACAAGGTTTACTTGGTGTGTACAAAGTAACAATGTTTACTTGGTGTGTACAAAGTAACAAGGGATAACAAGGGATACTTGGTGTGAACAAAGTAACAAAGTATACTTGGTAGGTACAAAGTAACAAGGGATAACAAGGGATACTTGGTGTGTACAAAGGATACTTGGTGTGTACAAAGTAACAAGGGATAACAAGGGATACTTGGTGTGTACAAAGTAACAAGGGATAACAAGGGATACTTGGTGTGAACAAAGTAACAAAGTATACTTGGTAGGTACAAAGTAACAAGGGATAACAAGGGATACTTGGTGTGTACAAAGGATACTTGGTGTGTACAAAGTAACAAGGGATAACAAGGGATACTTGGTGTGTACAAAGTAACAAGGGATAACAAGGATTTCTTGGTGTGACAAAGTAACAAGGGATAACAAGGGATACTTGGTGTGTACAAAGTATACTTGGTGTGTACAAAGTAACAAGGGATAACAAGGGATTCTTGGTGTGTACAAAGTAACAAGGTTTACTTGGTGTGCACAAAGTAACAAGGGATAACAAGGGATACTTGGGTTGTACAAAGAAACAAGGGATAACAAGGGATACTTGGTGTGTACAAAGTAACATGGTTTACTTGGTGTATACAAAGTAAGAAGGTATAACAAGGGATACTTGGTGTGTACAAAGTAAACAAGGTTTACTTGGTGTGTACAAAGTAANTTGTCTCTACACTGACCTGTACTCTCTAGATCTGTCTCTACACTGACCTGTACTATCTAAATATGTCCCCACACTGACCTGTACTCACTAGTTATGTCTCCACTCTGACCTGTACTCACTAGATTTGTCTCTACACTGCCCTGTACTCTCTAGATCTGTCTCTACTGGTGTGTACAAAGTAACAAGGTTTACTTGGTGTGTACAAAGTAACAAGGGATAACAAAGGATACCTGGTGTGTACAAAGTAACAAGGTTTACTTGGTGTATACAAAGTAACAAGGGATAACAAGGGAGACTTGGTGTGTACAAAGTAAACAAGGTTTACTTGGTGTGTACAAAGTAACAAGGGATAATAAGGGATACTTGGTGTGTACAAAGTCACAAGGGATAACAAGGGATACTTGGTGTGTACAAAGTAACAAGGGATACTTGGTGCGTATAAAGTAACAAGGTTTACTTGGTGTGTAAAAAGTAACAAGGGATACTTGGTGTGTATGACACTAATCTGTTATAAAGGGCTTGATCTGTCCCTAAACTGACCTGTACTCACTAGATCTGTCTCCACACTGACCTGTACTCGCTAGATCTGTCTCCACACTGACCTGTACTCACTAGATCTGTCTCCACACTGACCTGTACTCACTAGATAAGTGTCCACACTGACCTGTACTCACTAGTTATGTCTCCACACTGACCTGTACTCACTAGATATGTCCCCACACTGACCTGTACTCACTAGATCTGTCTCCACACTGACCTGCACTCACTAGATCTGTCTCAACACAGACCTGTACTCACTAGAAGATCTGTCTCCACACTGGCCTGCACTCAGTAGCTGTCTCCACACTGACATATACTCACTAGTAATGTCTCCACACTGACCTTTACTCACTATTTCTGTCTCCACACTGGGCTGTACTCAGTAGCTGTCTCTACACTGACCTGTACTCATTAGATAAGTGTCCACACTGACCTTTACTCACTATTTCTGTCCCCACACTGGCCTGTACTCCGTAGCTGTCTCCACACTGACCCGTCATCACTCGATCTGTCTCAACACTGACCTGTACTCACTAGATCTGTCTCCACACTGACCTGTACTCACTATTTCTGTCTCCACACTGGCCTGTACTCAGTAGCTGTCTCCACACTGACCTGTACTCACTAGATCTGTCTCCACACTGACCTGTACTCACTAGATCTGTCTCCACACTGACCTGTACTCACTAGTTATTTCTCCACACTGACCTATACTCACTAGTTATGTCTCCACACTGACCTATACTACCTAGTTATGTCTCCTCACTGACCTGTACTCACTAGATCTGTCTCCACACTGACCTGTACTCACTAG